CAATAAGCTCTAAGTTTCAAACTCCTGGCCACCAACCACTTCACATAATCACTACTTATAGCATATATAACAAAGAAATAACATATGGAGACATCAACTTCATATTGTCTTTTCCACTCCACCTGAGTCTCTTCCCTTTAAACTGATTTCAATATTTTCGACGAGTAGCCCATAATGATCATATATATATATATATATATATATATATATATATATATAATGAAAACGTTTCCCAACTTCACATGACTCTTTTATGGTCTGCATATGGAACATAGCCTTCACTCTGGTCCATAAACAACTAGGCCAAAATCCCTCACATCTGATAAATACAAGGATATCCCAGGCCCATGGCCTAAATGTGCACATCTCCTATTTCTCCTCCATATTTAACTCTTTTACACAGTTCATTTGTTTGTCAAAAGACCTAAACAAAGGTCATTTTCACATAAACTGACACTTCATATTGTTACATCTATATAGATGTAAAAAATGACAACTCAAGTTTCATCGTGCCACAGTGTAAGCATTGAATGAGTGGAATATTAAGGTTGAAGTCATTAAAGAAATTTAGCAATACCGTCCAGATGGGCATCTTCGCTATTGAATGAGTTCATAAAGAATAATTGAACTACAATTCTGCATCTCAACTTGAACCATATCACAGATAAGATGTGTTTGCGGATGAGAAACAAATAAGATGGCTCAAATTCCCCTGTGGTGGACTCTAATATGACATTTATCTACTTGAACATTAACGAGTGAATGATGGACTTCTTTTCCTTCAACTGGCAAATCAAGACTAAAAACTCCTGACAGCATGAAATATGCCACTATTCTTGGAGGTAAACTGGTAAAACTAGAGCAAAAATGTTCCAGAAGCTTTCTTTGATAATAAAACTCATTGTATATGTTTATTAAGTGATGAGTAAACTTCTGTGAGTGCTTGAGTAGTAACTACTAATAAAATAAGTTCAAATTGAGGTGCCTTTTTCATGTTTAATCTCATAAATTCTCGCTTCACGGGGTAATTTCCGTCTTTCTTATAATCCCAAGGCTCCCTTTATGCAAGGTTCAATCTTGACAACCTTGTCTGAGAAACCAGATTGAACTCCAAAACTTGAACTAAAATTAAGTGCATGATAGTAGTGCAAGCAAAAGCCAGAAATCCATCAGAATTCATATCAGTAAGAGAATACTATGTAGCTTCATATTTTGAGGCACATTTGAGCAGTACTGCTAAGATTGTTATACATACCAAAGCATGCATAGTTTATTGTTAGAAATTCTTCCTAGAATATTTCTGACAACCAAAATCTACCAAATAGACATCAATTAACAAATTTATAGGGACAGAAGAAACAAAAAAAATCGTATGAGAAAGAAATGGCAGAAAATTCATGTAGTAGCAAACTCACATTTATTTGTACGTCTAGAACAGGCTCTGGAATAAAGTCCGATACTCTCGAATACCATCCTGGATCTTCTTCCTGTTTGGGTGACTTAACATGTTAATATTCTAATAAGTTGTGGTATGAGTTTGATTACAAAGAAGTTTCTACGAACCTCTAGAATTTTGACGAAGAGACGCATTGCCTCAGTTGAGGCCATGGTTCCAAGTTCATTCCAGCTTCAAGAGAAATAAAAGAAAAGCAAAGTTAAGACATATAAGAGCTCACTCTGGGATATCTAAATAAAACCTCACAATATAACTGATTCAACATGAAAATCTAATGCATGCCGATTCTATCTAAAGCTAAGTATAAATTCACTGATATGCAAAGACGAGGAAGATTGATATATGAGTGTGTCAATCCCAGTTAATAAAAGAAACTATTTATCCCAAAGACAATGAATGTCGCTCAGTGAGACCAGATACAGATTGCAATTTGAACCATCCCAAACTAAATCGTTCATCCAAGACATAAAATAGTAACTTGCCAAGAGAAATGAACTTAACTGCAGCAAAACGTAATCCTTCAAGCTTCAAGCCTAATCACTATAAACTAACTCAACTAAGTGTTTGTTGAATGTAATGGTATCTGCAACTTTCTAAACTACACTATGGTTGATTTAGGATTTAACAGAAAAGAAACCCAAAATCAGTAAAATCTAGTATTCTAAGCAAATAATTTAAAATACAACTAAATAGACCTGAAGATCTCCAACAAAGAAATAAAAAATGTGCACAAAACTAGTATCTCCCACAATAGTTTATAATAAGCTTCTCTTTCACATTTCCTTCGTAACAAGATAAATGAAAAAATTACCCTCCACCGATCCATGATAAAAACACTTGCAGATCTGAAAACTCACACTTATTTATATCTTATTCAACAATAAACTCTCTAAAATCATGCATTCATAATCAAATTAATGAGTTAATGTCATAGAGGCCAATTACTACCAACCTTGTCCATTTGCTTTGCTCAATGGGACTCCAACCTCTAGGCTTAGGAATGTTGCAACGCCCTATAGTTGCCTGAGACCACCAAAGACGATATTATTCGCAGCTAGGGGATAATGAAGGATCAAGTGCATCTAAAAATATTTAAACTAAAAAGTTGACAGCCCATTACGTGAATATGAATGCTGAAAGTATTCCAAATTTAAAGCCAGTATAATTTCACTATTTAAATTTTAAATTTTGAAATTTGTCTCCTGAAATTATTTCAAATACTATAAACAAAGTCAACAATCCTTTTCTATAAATAAAAATTAAAAATAAATTAAAGAGAAAGAGATGCAAATAAACTAAACCATGCAAAAAGAAATAGGAAACATATAAATTTTGAAGCTAGAAGTTGAAAAAATTTCAAGGTAAAGAAACATAATCCCACTCACAATGATAAACCCAATATTCAAGAACCGGACATGGAATCAAAATACTAACTGCCGATTTCATAATGAACCAGGAACTTTCAGTTGGGCACTAGAGCATTTCCGGAGACAATTCCTCGGCAAATACAGTGGTGGAGCACTGGAGCTAATACTTCTGTGTTATGCGATTTTTTTTGTGGATACCCCGAATAAAAAATAGTACCAAACAAGTAAACATATATAGACTTTAATAGAATGCTGTGTACGATTGTTGAATTGAAATGTCGAACTGATGAAAAGATGATCAAACTTGGGGAGAAAAAGCCAAAGAGGTGAGAGGGATGGATGAGAGAGAGTGACAACATTTACTTTTACTTTTGTGGTAAATATTTGAGATTGTAAAACAGAAAATTTTGAGTTGGGAGTCTCACTTCCCTGTTTAACAGAAGTAACTAGAAATCTTGGTGGGAGAGAGGGGATGGAGTCCATTTCCCTGTTCTATTGAAGTTGGATTATAAGTTTATCTGAGTACATTTATTTTTCATCTTTTGAAGATTCAGGGACCAATGCATTAGGAGATAGGATTGAAAAGTAAAATCCACAGAATAATAAGATAAAAAACACTCCTACTGCGCCGATTAAGTTGGACCACTGTGCATACTAGCTTATAAGCCAATCCGGAATCCATCTGAGGAGCTCAAGAAGGAAGAAGCACGATTACAGGAGTGGATCGGAAAAATTGAATTAGTGAACTGAATAACAAGTAATGCATGATGAAGAGGCAAATGTGAAAACTACAGCGGGTTTCACTAAGATCCAAAAAAATTGCACAAAATTATGAGGCTTGAGCAGCGATTCGACAAAAACTCGACCAGAATCTCAATTGGATCAAACGAAATTGCAGATATTTCTAAACACAATCCTCGCACGCAGAAACTAAGGCGAAAAAATGTGATTTGAGAAAAACCAAAGGAAGATAAAATGAGATATGAAGAGCTAAAACCTGCTGATAGAGAGCATAAAGGATTAATGCGGTGTCGTTTGAGAACTTAGAGGCGACGCCTTTAGCCGCGGAATTTGGGGATCCACCGAAACCAACATAAGTCGCCGCCGCGTAGAATCTCTCCGGATAAGCAAGGCCCGAAGCTGCCGTCGCCATCGCCGCCGCAGCCGACATTTGCAGGTTTTCCGATCACAATTCGGAATCTGAGATCGATGACGAAACGGGAGAAATGAAACGGTATTTGGGGGAAATTAAAAAATTGTAATTTGAATTAATTTTTTTTGGGCCGGAGAGTGTGCGGGGGTATTTATATTAGCTGGATTTCTGGGTTAAAGGTGTCTGAGATCTGCCTCGGATCTTTCTGTAATTCTACAAACCACCCCCCAACAACATATAAATGAAAAATTAGGTGAAAAAAAAAAAAAAAAAAAAAAAAAAAAAAAAAAAAAGAAATTAGGTGAATTACAGTTTGCATTTATGTACTATATACTATATTGCCTATTATATTTACCTTCCTAAATTGTTAAATGTAAATGGTTCTTGCCATGGTGGTTATATCGAAAATTGTTACTCCCTCTGTTCTTAAATAAGTGTCTATTTTCAATTTTCACAAAAAATTAAAAAAATTCAATAAATGTGCTTTGATTCTACGGAAACATACATAAAAATGACTAAAACAATATTTATCATTTAATTATTTATAAGAGATAATTAATGGTTAGAGTTGAGTTAATAAAGTTAAAACAGGAAAAATGTATTTAATGCAGTATTGGAAATGGAAATTGACATATAAAATGGAACTAAAATAATTTTAAAAAGTGACAGTTATTGTGGAACAAACGGAGTAGATAATAAAGAGAATAAAGATAAGATCGCGGCTAGTCGCAATACTAATTTCAATAAAGTGTAAGACAAAATTAAAAGAAAAATACAAAAGTTTCTATTTTATAAAGATGAAATGACAAATATGCCCATTAGTTAAATTAGCTTTTGTTTGTTCATGCATGACCAATTAATAGATCAAGTATTTTACAAAACAAAAAAAATATACACGCCCCTCTGAAATCCTTTGCCTTCCCCGTCGCCCATGCCAGTCCGCCGCAAATTGGTCCAAGTACTGCTCGCCGCCGTTGCAAGCTCGTCGCTTGAACGTTGCAAGCTCGTCGCTTGAACGTCGCCGCCATGACCAACAACTAGAGTAATTCATTATAATTCTTTATTTTGTTCAACCTTTAAAAAAGAGGGAAAAAATTACCATTGACATTGTTTATAATCGACATCAAGATGTCGAAAATATATGTTGCAATTCGACATCTTAGTGTCGATTCTTAGCTACCAATTTCAACATGTAAACGTCGAATGGGTCTGCGCGTTTTTTTTTCAAAAACGATAGTATAGCTAGAAA